GCAAAATGGAACTCTGTGAACCATTAACTAATATTTTTAATTTATCTCTTCAAACAGGTGTAGTGTCTGATATGTGGAAGATGGCTAATGTAATTCCTATTTTTAAAACAGGGGACAAGTCGTTACCGTCAAATTACCGCCCAATAAGCCTGACCTCAATTGTAGGCAAATTACTAGAGTCAATTATAGCTGAGATTATAAGGAGCCATCTCGATAAGCATAGGTTGATTAATGATACTCAGCATGGATTCACAAGAGGCCGGTCTTGTCTAACTAATTTATTAACTTTCTTCACTAAAGCTTTTGAGGCTGTTGACCACGATAAAGAATTTGATATTATTTACTTAGATTTTAGTAGTTCCGCACCATAGACTGTTAAAGAAAGTGGCAGCTCATGGCATTGGGGGAAAAGTGCTCTCGTGGATCGAGTCATGGCTCACTGACAGGAAGCAGAGAGTGTCCATAAATGGGGTTAAATCCGAGTGGGGATCTGTAACAAGTGGCGTTCCACAGGGATCAGTCTTGGGCCCGTTGTTGTTTATAATATATATCAATGATCTTGATGAGGGAATTACTAGTGATATGAGCAAATTCGCCGATGACACAAAGATAGGTAGGATAATTGATTCAAACGTAGATGTTATGGAACTTCAGGAGGATTTAAACAAACTCTACTCTTGGTCAGAAAAGTGGCAGATGCAGTTCAATGTAGATAAATGCAAGGTTCTGAAGCTTGGGAGTGCCCATAACCCTAGTACTTATAAGTTAAATGATGTAGAACTTAGCCATACAGATTGCGAAAAGGACTTGGGGGTTATGGTGAGCAGCAACCTTAAACCAAGACAGCAATGCCTAAGCGTACGTAATAAGGCAAATAGATTACTGGGATTTATATCAAGAAGTGTAAGCAACAGAAGTCCAGAGGTCATACTGCAGCTTTATACATCATTAGTAAGGCCTCACCTAGATTATGCAGCTCAGTTCTGGTCTCCATATTACAGAATGGACATAAATTCGTTAGAAAACATTCAGCGTAGGATGACTAAAATAATACATAGAATTAGAAATCTTCCTTATGAAGAAAGATTGAAGACTCTTAAGTTACATTCACTTGTTAGACGAAGAATGAGGGGAGACCTGATCGAAGTGTATAAGTGGAAGATAGGTATTAATAAAGGGGATATTAATAAGGTCTTGAGGATGTCTCTCCAAGAGAGAACCCGCAGTAATGGATTTAAATTAGATAAGTTTAGATTTAGAAAAGACATAGGAAAGTATTGGTTTGGAAATAGGGTAGTTGATGAGTGGAACAGTCTACCTAGTTGGGTTATTGAGGCTGGGACTTTGGGTAGTTTCAAATTTAGGTTGGATAAGTACATGAGTGGGAGGGGTTGGATTTGAGTGGGACTTTCACATCAGAGCTTATTTCTTGGGTGGCATTGAAAATTGGGTTGGGCAAATGTTTTGTTAGTGGGATGAACTGTAAAGGACCTGCCTAGTATGGGCCAACAGGCCTCCTGCAGTGTTCCTCCTTTCTTATGTTCTTATGATTAAGGTCCCAGGACCTTAATCATTTCTCATGGTCCCAGGATCAAGATCCCAGTATTAAGGTCCCAGGACCAAGGCCCCAGGATCAAAATCCCAGGATTAAGATCCCAGGACCAAGGTCCCAGAATCAAGATCCCAGGACTAAGGTCGCAGGACCTCCTATATCTTTTATAATTATAGTATAAGTCTGCCTGGGTAGATGGTCCTATAACTTACCTATAAAGAACTTTATTAGTCATGTGTGAGATGGTTTGTGTTGTTTGTCATTCATGATTGTGTTTCTGGGAGTGTGTTCTGTGTATGTGATGTGTTCTGTGTATGTATGTGTTCTGTGTATGTGGTGGTGTCAGTGTATGTGGATGTGTTCTGGTGTATGTGAGTGTTCTCAGTGTATGTCCGAGATGTTCTTGATATAGTGAGGTTTCTTTGTATGTATTGTATCTGTATGTGGTGTGTCGTGTATGTGATGTAGTTAACGTTTATGATGGTTCTGTGTAGACGGTTCTGTGTTGTGTGTTTCATGGATGTGTGTGTTCTGGTATGATGTGTTCTGTGTATGTGTGTGGTTCTGTGTATATGAGTGTTCTGTGTATGTGGGTGTTCTGTGTATGTGGTGTGTTCTGTGTATGTGGTGTGTTCTGTGTATGTGGTGTGTTCTGTGTATGTGGTGTGTTCTGTGTATGTGGTGTGTTCTGTGTATGTGGTGTGTTCTGTGTATGTGATGTGTTCTGTGTATGTGATGTGTTCTGTGTATATGTTGATGTGTTCTGTGTATGTGTGTGTTCTGTGTATATGACGTGTTCTGTGTATGTGGTGTGTTCTGTGTATGTGGTGTGTTCTGTGTATGTGGTGTGTTCTGTGTATGTGAGTGTTCTGTGTATGTGATGTGTTCTGTGTATGTGCGTGTTCTGTGTATGTGGTGTGTTCTGTGTATGTGGTGTGTTCTGTGTATGTGGTGTGTTCTGTGTATGGATGTGTTCTGTGTATGTGGTGTGTTCTGTGTATATGAGTGTTCTGTGTATGTGTGTGTTCTGTGTATGTGATGTGTTCTGTGTATGTGGTGTGTTCTGTGTATGTGGTGTGTTCTGTGTATGTGGTGTGTGTTCTGTCTGTATTGTGTTTCGTGTGTATGACTGTTCTGTATGTGGTGTGTTCTGTGTATGTGGTGTGTTCTGTGTATGTGGTGTGTTCTGTGTATGTGGTGTGTTCTGTGTATGTGGTGTGTTCTGTGTATGTGACGTGTTCTGTGTATGTGGTGTGTTCTGTGTATGGTGTGTTCTGTGTATGTGGTGTTTCTGTGTATTGTGGTGTGTTCTGTGTATGTGGTGTGTTCTCTGTATGTGGTGTGTTCTGTGTATGTGACGTGTTCTGTGTATGTGGTGTGTTCTGTGTATGTGGTGTGTTCGTTATGTGGTTGTTCTGTGTATTGGTGTGTTTGTTTTATGTGACGTGTTCTGTGTATGTGGTGTGTTCTGTGTATATGACGTGTTCTGTGTATGTGGTGTGTTCTGTGTATGTGGTGTGTTCTGTGTATGTGGTGTGTTCTGTGTATGTGACGTGTTCTGTGTATGTGGTGTGTTCTGTGTATGTGGTGTGTTCTGTGTATGTGGTGTGTTCTGTGTATGTGACGTGTTCTGTGTATGTGGTGTTTCTGTGTATAGACTGTTCTGTGTATGTGGTGTGTTCTGTGTATGTGGTGTGTTCTGTGTATGTGGTGTGTTCTGTGTATGTGGGTTCTGTGTATGTGGTGTTTCTGTGTATGTGGTGTGTTCTGTGTATGTGGTGTGTTCTGTGTATGTGGTGTTCTGTGTATGTGGTGTTCTGTGTATGTGACGTGTGTTCTGTGTATGTGTGATTCTGTGTATGTGTGTTCTGTGTATGTGGTGTTCTGTGTATGTGGTGTGTTCTGTGTATGTGGTGTGTTCTGTGTATGTGGTGTGTTCTGTGTATGTGACGTGTTCTGTGTATGTGGTGTGTTCTGTGTATATGACGTGTTCTGTGTATGGGGTGTGTTCTGTGTATGTGTGTGTTCTGTGTATGTGGTGTGTTCTGTGTATGTGGTGTTCTGTGTATTTGTGTTCTGTGTATTGAGTGTTCTGTGTATGTGTTTCTGTGTATGTGGTGTGTTCTGTGTATGTGGTGTGTTCTGTGTATGTGGTGTGTTCTGTGTATGTGGTGTGTTCTGTGTATGTGGTGTGTTCTGTGTATGTGGTGTGTTCTGTGTATGTGGTGTGTTCTGTGTATGTGTGTGATCTGTGAGTGGTGTTTCTGTGTATGTGGTGTGTTCTGTGTATGTGGTGTTCTGTGTTGTGTGTGTTCTGGTATATGACGTGTTCTGTGTATGTGGTGTGTTCTGTGTATGTGGTGTGTTCTGTGTATGTGGTGTGTTCTGTGTATGTGGTGTGTTCTGTGTATGTGGTGTGTTCTGTGTATGTGGTGTGTTCTGTGTATATGACGTGTTCTGTGTATGTGGTGTGTTCTGTGTATGTGGTGTGTTCTGTGTATGTGGTGTGTTCTGTGTATGTGACGTGTTCTGTGTATGTGGTGTGTTCTGTGTATATGACGTGTTCTGTGTATGTGGTGTGTTCTGTGTATGTGGTGTGTTCTGTGTATGTGGTGTGTTCTGTGTATGTGGTGTGTTCTGTGTATGTGGTGTGTTCTGTGTATGTGGTGTGTTCTGTGTATGTGGTGTGTTCTGTGTATGTGGTGTGTTCTGTGTATGTGGTGTGTTCTGTGTATGTGGTGTAGATATTCTCAGTGTACATGTTAGTGTATGGAAGAACTCACAATAAACTTGACAGTTTTATAGTCCACAATATTGTTCATGATCTTAAAGGTAAAAATATTTTTTTTTACAAAGATATAGAGTGTGTTGTTTGTTATATTAACAATTTAACTCGATGTTAGACAACTGTATGAGTGAGACAGTGTTGTGTGAGGTGTTGTGTGAGGTGTTGTGTGAGGTGTTGTGTGAGGTGTTGTGTGAGGTGTTGTGTGAGGTGTTGTGTGAGGTGTTGTGTGAGGTGTTGTCACTTTCTCTGAGGTGTCACCTCAGTGTTTAACATTTATAATGTACTTCCCTTACCTCTTCTTCCTATTCCTCTGAAGATATGTGTAAACACATGAAAGCGCTCAGGTTTTATTTCCTATTTTCACTGTGGTATTTTTACATGTTAGTGTGTATGTTCTCAGTGATGTACAGACTTACTGTAATCATAGTTCTGTCCCTGTAGCTACATACACACGGTCGTAAATAGGTAGTCACCAAGCACAAATGCACGTTGACCAGAATCCACATCTCTCTCCTCCATCACCAGACAGAGTTGGGAGGCACCCACGCAGCTAAGCCCTTCACGAAATCCTCCTTCGTAATTACACACCCTCTGCTTCCCTCGTTTCCCTCAGACTAATTAGATTATCCTTCCCTTTCTTCTCCCTCTGTGTTCCCTTAGGTAAGTTCATGACCCGGAGCTGTCTCTTCTGCCTGCTGTGGGTGGTGACTAACTACATGTACGTTTACTCTCTGAGGATCCTCGACTGCACAGACGTCATGGCGCTCTACTCCGCCCACGTCTCTTTCGTCTACCTCCTCTCCTGGGTCATTCTCCACGACCAGTTTGTCGGCGTTAGGGTGAGTGGATACGAGGGTGAGTGTAGAGGGCTTCAAGGGGTGAGTATTGTGGCCCCGGGGGGGGTGTAATGAAGCACTAAGGGTGAGTATTGTGGCCCCGGGGGGGTGTAATGAAGCACTAAGGGTGAGTATTCTAGCAATAAGGGTGAGTATTGTGGCAACATGAGTGAATATTGTGGTTTCAAATGTAACAACTTTGGAAAAAAAAGTCTTTCCTGCCATTAAAACTTAATAACAAACCATCATTGTTTCTTGCGATGGGAAGACGGAGGATCGAGCCTCCGTCACTTCTTGCCCTGAATGGCTCGCTGATCTGATACTTACATGACGCCTGTGGAAGCAGAGATAGCCAAGTTAGGTACAAGAAAGGTGAAGAGCTCTTTTCCACTACTATCAAGGCTGGGACCGGGCAGTGGGGGCGTTGACCCGTAAGACCATCCTTTCTCCTGACGACAGAGATAAACATTCCTCAGTTTTTACGGGTGTCTGAGAGACGACAGATCCAGGTTTTGCATAACGGTTTCATGCCTCAGTCAGATAACCAAAAGCTCCAGCTGTGGGGTCATCATACGATTAAGACCCACGTCAGGAAACACTTATTCTGTTTCCTGACAAATCTTAGCTAAGTATGCAGAGCTCAACTCTCTGGTTGATGAAGTTGGGAATAGAATTAAATTTGTTTGCCAGAGTTGAGGGGAAGCTTAACTTCCCAGAGGCATCAGTGCCTCGCCTGCCACCAGCGGCTTGCATCTGACGTGAGTTATGCAAATGACTTTCCTATGATAATTGTTTGAACTACGGCTGTGAGCCATGAGGCTGAGGGAGACGAGATGCAGTGCTGTTATATACAGACGTGTTTCTCTATGAATAGCTGCAATGTGAAGCCCAATGACTTCTGTTTCCTCAACATATTCCATCACAGAATATGGATTTCCTACATTAGGAAAGGAAATGTGTCAGTCTGAGCTGGAAGGCTTCACTAGGAGCATGAGGACATCATGAAGCATTCCACTACAGTACCTCCAACACCTTCAAAGGTTTCCTTCCAGCAGGGCTGGAGTTACTATTACATGGGCCCAAACGTCTCTTAGAACACCTCATAAACATGAGGTAAGAGGAAGTTATGAGGGCACCATTATCATAAAAACACATATGACTCAATAAGAGCATCAAAGGATGGGAGTGAGAGGAGAGTGATGAGATGGAGGGACGGGAGAAGATGGATAGATTGTTGAGCTAAACAACATCAAGAGAAGGGAGAAGGGAAGTGAGGCAATACTAATTGAAAGAAACTATAGATAGAGAATGAGAGGAAGCAATAACAGAGGGAAGCAACCTACGGTAACTGTGTCTGTTTTTAATTCTGTATTAGAGGTAATCCACACAATACACTGACACACACACACAGCACACAGACACACAACACACTGACACACAACACACTGACACAACACACTGACACACTACACACTGACACACAACACACTGACACAACACACTGACACACAATACACTGACACACAACACACTGACACACAACACACTGACACACAATACACTGACACACAACACACTGACACACAACACACTGACACACAACACACTGACACACTACACACTGACACACAACACACTGACACAACACACTGACACACAATACACTGACACACAACACACTGACACACAACACACTGACACACAATACACTGACACACAACACACTGACACACAACACACTGACACACAATACACTGACACATACAGCACACAGGCACACAACACACTGACACACAATACACTGACACACAATACACTGACACATACAGCACACAGATACACAACACACTGACACACAACACACTGACACACAACACACTGACACACAATACACTGACACACAATACACTGACACACAATACACTGACACATACAGCACACAGACACACAACACACTGACACACAACACACTGACACACAATACACTGACACACAATACACTGACACACAATACACTGACACACAATACACTGACACACAATACACTGACACACAAACACTGACACACAATACACTGACACATACAGACACACAGACACACAACACACTGACACACAAACACTGACACACTGAACACACTGATACACAACACACTGACACACAAACACACTGACACACAACAACACTGACACACAACACACACTACGACACAACACCACACACTGACACACAACACACTGACACACACATACACTGACACACAACAAAATACACTGACAACACACTGACACAACACACTGACACACAACACACTGACACACAACACACTGACACACAATACACTGACACACAATACACTGACACACAACACATGACACACAACACACTGACACAAACACACTGACACACAAACACTGACACACAATACACTGACACACAATACACTGACACAACACACACTGACACACAACACACTGACACACAATACACACTGACACATACAGAACAGCACACAGACACACAACACACTGACACACAACACACTGACACACAACACACTGACACACAACACACTGACACACAATACACTGACACACAACACACTGACACACAACACACTGACACACACAGCACACATGACACACACACACACAGACACACAACACACTGACACACAACACACTGACACACAACACACTGACACACAAACACTGACACACAAACACACTGACACACAACACACTGACACACAACACACTGACACACAACACACTGACACACACACACACACATGACACACAACTGACACATGACACACAAACACACTGACACACAATACACTGACACACAACACACTGACACACAACACACTGGCACACAACACACTGACACACAACACACTGACACACAACACACTGACACACAATACACTGACACACAACACACTGACACACAACACACTGACACACAAACACACTGACACACAAACACACTGACACACAACACACTGACACACAATACACTGACACACAACACACTGACACACAACACACTGACACACAACACACTGACACACAATACACTGACACATACAGCACACAGACACACAACACACTGACACACAACACACTGACACACAATACACTGACACACAACACACTGACACACAATACACTGACACACAACACACTGACACACAACACACTGACACACACAGCACACAGACACACACAGCACACAGACACACAACACACTGACACACAACACACTGACACACAACACACTGAACACACAACACACTGACACACACAGCACACAGACACACACAGCACACAGACACACAACACACTGACACACACAACACACAGACACACAACACACTGACACACACAACACACTGACACACAACACACTGACACACAATACACTGACACACAACGCACAGACACACACAGCACACAGACACACACAGCACACAGACACACAACACACTGACACACACAACACACAGACACACAACACACACACAACACACTGACACACACAACACACAGACACACAACACACTGACACACACAACACACTGACACACACAACACACAGACACACACAACACACAGACACACAACACACAGACACACAACACACACACACACACAACACACAGCCTCTACCAGCCATTACCAAGGTGTCAGAGTGATCTAGTTACCAGCAGAGGTCAGGATGGATGGTGTAGCGGGTAACACAACACACTGACACACACAACACACTGACACACACAACACACAGACACACAACACACACACACAACACACAGCCTCTACCAGCCATTATCAAGGTGTCAGAGTGATCTAGTTACCAGCAGAGGTCAGGATGGATGGTGTAGCGGGTAACACAACACACTGACACACACAACACACTGACACACAACACACACACACACAACACACACACACACAACACACAAGCCTCTACCAGTCATTACCAAGGTGTCAGAGTGATCTAGTTACCAGCAGAGGTCAGGATGGATGGTGTAGCGGGTAACACAACATCCCCTGCAACACTACGCAACACTACGCAAAACTCTGCAAAATGAACATCGTTACATTCTAAAAACAACGTTAAAATCATATATACGTTATAGCAAATTTCGTTACGACCTCCCGGGAAACTGAGACCTTAAAAAGTGTATTAAATTCTTGATATTCTCAAAAAAAAAAAAAACTTATTCTCAAAATCCAAAAAAATCAGTATTTTTTTTGGAAATGACGGAAAACAAATATATTTTTCACGTTGTTTATTCTTCTGTCTCGTCTATTGGTTGGATAGACTGTTGGTTGATAGATGGATTGTGTGTGTTGATAGATTGACTGTGGGCGTTGTGTGGGTTAATAGATAGACTCCCACACACACCCCAGGAGCACCACCACACACCCCAGGAGCACCACCACACACTCCAGGAGCACCACCACACACCCCAGGAGCACCACCACACACCCCAGGAGCACCACCACACACCCCAGGAGCACCACCACACACCCCAGGACCACCACCACACATCTCAGGACCACCACACACCCCAGGACCACCACCACACATCTCAGGACCACCACACACACCCCAGGACCACCACCACACACCCCAGGACCACCACACACACCCAAGGACCACCACCACACACCCCAGGACCACCACACACACCCAAGGACCACCACCACACACCCAAGGACCACCTCACACACCCCAGGACCACCACCACACACCCCAGGAGCACCACACACACCCCAGGACCACCACCACACACCCCAGGAGCACCACACACCCCCGGACCACCACACACACCCAAGGACCACCACCACACACCCCAGGAGCACCACAAACACCCCAGGACCACCACCACACACCCCAGGAGCACCACACACACCCCAGGACCACCACCACACACCCCAGGAGCACCACACACACCCCCGGACCACCACACACATCCAAGGACCACCACAGACAATCTGGACACAATTCGATGTGGTAGCAACAGAAGTGACTGATAATCACTTTCATGTAACAGTGAATACAATGGGACGGTACAGAAAGTACCGCAAGGTAGACTCACACCTCACCCGGTTTCATGACGTGAGGAGCGCGGGGTACACATCACGCACAACCTATCCCCGGAGACACATGTTACTTGAAGCAACTTCGTACACACACACACACACACACACACACACACGCGCGCGCGCGCGCGCGAGAAGTACCTTGTGCTCGAAACTCTCATTTCAAAGCAAGCGTTTCCTGGGACAACGTTTCGCTCTGTGTATAAATTTACTATATCCTGCCTTCATAGAACTCTACAAGGAGCGAAACATAACTTGATAAAGCTCTACTCAGGGCGAAAGTATGACTTAATAAAGCTCTACACGGAGTCAACACATGACTGTGTGTCCATCTACAGATTGTTGCAGTGATTCTCTGCAACACTGGCATTGCACTGCTGGCCTACATGGACGGTATTACCAGAACCAAAACTCTGGGAGGTGTGGTACTGGCTGCTGCGTCTGCTGCTGGCTCTGCTGTCTACAAGGTGAGGCTCTGCTGTCTACAAGGTAACGCTCTGCTGTCTACAAGGTGAGGCTCTGCTGTCTGCAAGGTGAAGTTCTGCTGTCTACAAGGTGAGGCTCTGCTGTCTACAAGGTGACGCTCTGCTGTCTACAAGGTAACGCTCTGCTGTCTACAAGGTGAGGCTCTGCTGTCTACAAGGTAACGCTCTGCTGTCTACAAGGTGAGGCTCTGCTGTCTGCAAGGTGAAGTTCTGCTGTCTACAAGGTGACGCTCTGCTGTCTACAAGGTGACGCTCTGCTGTCTACAAGGTAAGGTTCTACTCAATACTAATAATTTACGATAATCTAGACAGGAGAAGACAGGTGTTCCCTGCAGACAGCCTCAGTGTGGCCTTTAAGGCGTCTGCTGCCTGTCTTTCAAACTGAACGTTGTCCCCCATCACTCACTCTCTCTCTCTCTCTCTCTCAGGTGCTGTTCAAGAAGGTTATAGGTGAAGCGAGCTTCGGGCAGGTGAGTCTTATCTTCACTGTGATAGCGCTGCTCAACACCACCTTGCTGAGTCCCCTGGTGGCCACCTTCTATTTTAGCGGCTACGAGACACTTCTCTGGGCTCACCTACCCTGGCCCAACCTCCTTATAGCTGCGGCACTCTCACTAGGTGAGTCCCACGCATCATTCACCTCGTCCATTTGATTCACCTGATTTACCTCGTCCACTCGATTCACCTCGTCCACCTGATTCACCTAGTCCACCTGATTCACCTCGTCCACCCGATTCACCTCGTCCACCTGATTCACCTCGTCCACCTGATTCACCTCGTCCGCCTGATTCACCCCCTCCACCTGATTCACCTCGTTCGTCTGATTCACCTCTTCCACCCGATTCACCTCGTTCACCTGATTCTTACCCCGTCCAGTCCCCTGATCGTCTCCCAAACACAAAAAGATTGATTTACGTTCCATGACTCCCAGCTAAATGTATTTTAGTAATAATTATTAGTAATAATAATAATAATTATTATTATTATTATTATTATTATTATTATTATTATTATTATTATTATTATTATTATTATTATTATTATTATTATTATTGTTGTTGTTGTTGTTGTTGTAGTAACATCATCAAAATAATTGAAAAATTAATGAAGCGATGTTTTCCTGAGATATTGTGAGTGTGAGTGTGTCTCGTCTGAGTGTGTGTCTCGTCTGAGTGTGTGTGTGTCACGTCTGAGTGTGTGTGTCTCGTCTGAGTGTGTGTCTCGTCTGAGTGTGTGTGTGTCACGTCTGAGTGTGTGTCCCGTCTGAGTGTGTGTCTTGTCTGAGTGTGTTTTGTGTGTCCGTCGAGTGTGTGCCCTCTGAGTGTGTGTTCGTCTGAGTGTGTGTGTGCACGTCTGAGTGTGTGTGTCTGTTGTCGTCTGAGTGTGTGTCTCGTCTGAGTGTGTGTTAGTTGTGTTCACGTCTGAGTGTGTGTCACGTCTGAGTGTGTGTCCGTCTGAGTGTGTGTCTCGTCTAGTGGTGTGTGTCTCGTCTGAGTGTGTGTGTGTGTCACGTCTGAGTGTGTGTCACGTCTGAGTGTGTGTCTCGTCTGATGTGGTGTTCGTCAGTGTGTTCTCGTCTGAGTGTGTGTGTCTCGTCTGATGTGTGTGTGTCCGTCGTTGGTGTGTGTGTCTCGTCTGAGTGTGTGTTCGTCTGAGTGTGTTCTCGTCTGAATGTGTGTGTGTCTCGTCTGAGTGTGTGTGTGTGTGCGTCTCGTCTGAGTGTGTGTCTCGTCTGAGTGTGTGTGTGTCTCGTCTGAGTGTGTGTCTCGTCTGATGTGTGTGTGTCTCCGTCTGAGTGTGTGTCGTCTGAGTGTGTGTGTCTCGTCTGAGTGTGTGTCTCGTCTGAGTGTGTGTGTGTGTCTCGTCTGAGTGTGAGTGTCTCGTCTGAGTGTGTGTATCACGTCTGAGTGTGTGTCACGTCTGAGTGTGTGTGTCTCGTCTGAGTGTGTGTCTCGTCTGAGTGTGTGTGTGTTTCGTCTGAGTGTGAGTGTCTCGTCTGAGTGTGTGTATCACGTCTGAGTGTTGGCTCGTCTGAGTGTGTAGTTCTTCTGAGTGTGTGTGTCTCGTCTGAGTGTGTGTCTCTCGTCTGAATGTGTGTGTCTCGTCTGAGTGTGTAGTGTCTCGTCTGAGTGTGTGTGTTCCTGTCTGAGTGTATGTGCCTCGTCTGAGTGTGTGAGTCTCTTCTGAGTGTGAGTGTCTCGTCTGAGTGTGTGAGTCTCGTCTGAGTGTGTGTGTCTCGTCTGAGTGTGTGTGTCTCGTCTGAGTGTGTGTGTGTCTCGTCTGAGTGTGTGTGTGTCTCGTCTGAGTGTGTGTGTCTCGTTCTGAGTGTGTGTGTCTCGTCTGAGTGTGTGAGTCTCGTCTGAGTGTGAGTGTCTCGTCTGAGTGTGTGTCTCGTCTGAGTGTGTGTGTCTCGTCTGAGTGTAGTGATCTTTCGTCTGAGTGTTGTGTGTGTCTCGTCTGGTGTGTGTGGTTCTGTCTAGTTGTGAGTCTCGTCTGAGGTGTGTGTGTGTCCTCGTCTGAGTGTGGTGTGTTGTGTCTCGTCTGAGTGTGTGTGTCTCGTCTGAGTGTGTGAGTCTTGTCTGAGTGTGAGTTGGTGGTCTCGTCTGAGTGTGTGTGTCTCGTCTAGTTGTGAGTCTCGTCTGAGTGTGTGGTGTCTTTCTCGTCTGAGACTGTGTTGTCTGCTGTAGTGTGTACTCGTCTGGTGTGGTTAGTCCGTTGAGTGTGTGTACACTGGGTCTGGGTGCTGGCAGTACTGTGTCTGCAGGTAGGTGGTGATCTGTCTGGTGTGGCAGTACCTGTGTCTGCAGGTAGGTGGTGAACTGTCTGGTGCTGGCAGTACCTGTGTCTGCAGGTAGGTGGTGACACTGTTGGTGCTGCAGTTACCTGTGTCTGCAGGTAGGTGGTGAAACTGTCTGGTGCTGGCAGTACCTGTGTCTGCAGGTAGGTGGTGATACTGTCTGGTGCTGGCAGTACCTGTGTCTGCAGGTAGGTGGTGATACTGTCTGGTGCTGGCAGTACCTGTGTCTGCAGGTAGGTGGTGACACTGTCTGGTGCTGGCAGTACCTGTGTCTGCAGGTAGGTGGTGATACTGTCTGGTGCTGGCAGTACCTGTGTCTGCAGGTAGGTGGTGACACTGTCTGGTGCTGGCAGTACCTGTGTCTGCAGGTAGGTGGTGACACTGTCTGGTGCTGGCAGTACCTGTGTCTGCAGGTAGGTGGTGACACTGTCTGGTGCTGGCAGTACCTGTGTCTGCAGGTAGGTGGTGATACTGTCTGGTGCTGGCAGTACCTGTGTCTGCAGGTAGGTGGTGACACTGTCTGGTGCTGGCAGTACCTGTGTCTGCAGGTAGGTGGTGACACTGTCTGGTGCTGGCAGTACCTGTGTCTGCAGGTAGGTGGTGATACTGTCTGGTGCTGGCAGTACCTGTGTCTGCAGGTAGGTGGTGACACTGTCTGGTGCTGGCAGTACCTGTGTCTGCAGATGGTTTGTGGTTCGTCCTGAGCCATTTCGGTTCTTTCTGGACCATCACGGTCCTTTATGCATCATTACCATCCGTCCTGGACCAGCACGGTCTGTCAAGGACCATTACGGTCCACCCTGGACCATTATCAAATAAGCTAACCCCGCAGTCTCTTGACTGGTGCTAAGGTGTTGCAGCCACGGCACTGCTGCCTTTTTACCTTGTAGAAATTGACACTAAATTTTAACAGCTTCATCCCTGGAGTTAATGGTACGAAGTAAAGTTTCTGATGGATGAAAGTGTCGAGGATGTTAATCTTCACGAATCTGATACCAAAATATTTTTTTATGTTAGGTAAATTGGACCTCAGACGCAGCTCTGACATTTTAATGTGGCAACTTTTCGCTCTCCAGGAGGTCTGTCAAGCCGTTATGGCTTGACAGTATTTCTACGGCTTGTCGGTATTTCTACTGTTATTACTATTTTTGTTTTGTTCATACGTATCGAGTAACAACAATTGTGAAAGCTTGAGGGAATAAAGCTGATAGATGCGGCTTTTGATGCTAAGCTTTTCTTCAGCACTGGACATCAAAGATACAAGGTTAACTTTGAGTGACTGAAGGTCTTAGAAATAGTTTCCAAAGCAATATAAATCAAGGAACGGATGGGAGTTGAACCCATGGCAATCGAGTCCAAAAAATTAGTCCAGTGCGTTAAGCACTGTTTCAGCACAGCACTGAATACCATGTTATATTTAAGGGACTGAGGCCTCTAGACGTAGTTTCTAACACTAATCTCTTTCTTTTCCACAGCCTTGGACATCAAATGGTACCATGTGAGGTTTGAGGGGATGAAGCTGGCTGGTGTAGTCCTGATCGTGTGCGGGTTCTTCCTGGTACTCTTCCCTGCTAACTGGCCAGAGTACATCACTAAGGTGCTCCGGTGGGTTGCTGCAGGAGTGACGCAGTGGTTCCTGCGTCACTGTCGCAGGAGACCAAGATGAATGCTTGTCTTAGATGTGGAATGAGTTCAGTTCTTGAAGTGTTGTAGTCCCCCGTCTTGCAGTGTTGGTCCTCGTCTCTAGGCATGAAAGAAACTGTGATATTGTATATGTATACTGTATACGTCATATTGTATATGTATACTGTATACGTCATATCGTATATGTGTACTATATATGTAAGTTTTTTGATAAAAAAAAGTAATATTCGTCTAAGCTGACATGTGTGTTGCTATTTTAATTTAAAGGTGAAGTAACATGGCGTCTTACTCTATACGAGACCAGAAAACCAAAGAATTTTTTGTTGTCATGTCAGTTTGTGGCCAACATGTCAGTTTGTGGCCAACATGTCAGTTTGTGGTCAACATGTCAGTTTGTGGCCAACATGTCAGTTTGTTCTCACTATCATCAAGGTGCTGGACGCAAGTCACTTACTCTTCCCCCCAAAAAAGATTTACAATTACTTTTTATGGCTCAGATCTGTTAATTATCTTTTTACTGTCCATTTTCCAAAGTGCTAAGACCCTTACTATCTTAGCGCTTCATTTTCAGTTTAATAATGACAATGATAATAATGCTACTACTAATACTACTACTGCTACTTCTACTACTGCTACTACAACTACTGCTACTACTACTAGTACTACTACTAGTACTGCTGCTGCTACTACTACTACTGCTACTATTACTACTGCTACTACTACCACTACTACTACCACTATTACTACTACTACTACTATTACTACTACTGCTACTATTACTACTACTGCTACTACTACTACTACTACTTACTACTACTACTGCTGCTACTACTACTACTACTACTACTCCGACTACTACTACTGCTACTCTGCTACTACTGCTACTACTACTACTACTACTGCTGCTGCTACTACTACTACTGCTACTATTACTACTGCTACTACTGCTACTACTACCACTATTACTACTACTACTACTATTACTACTACTACTACTACTACTACTTCTACTACTACTACTGCTGCTACTACTACTACTGCTACTCCGACTACTGCTACTGCTACTACTACTATTACTGCTACTACTACTACTACTACTACTACTGCTGCTGCTGCTGCTGCTGCTGCTGCTGCTGCTGCTGCTAATACTACTACTACTACTGCTGCTACTACTACTACTACTACTACTACTACTACTACTACTACTACTACTACTGCTGCTGCTACTGCTGCTGCTGCTGCTGCTAATACTACTACTACTACTACTACTACTACTACTACTACTACTACTACTACTACTACTACTGCTGCTGCTGCTGCTGCTGCTAATACTACTACTACTACTGCTGCTGCTACTACTACTACTACTACTACTACTACTACTACTACTACTATTACTGCTACTACTACTACTACTAGTAATAATAATAATAATAATAATAATAATAATAATAATAATAATAATAATAATAATAATAATAATAATAATAATAATAATAATAATTCTTTTAAAAAATTAATTTTTGAATTAAGTTTTGAGATCAGAGTTTATAATTAACCTGTACAATTATGCTACAAAGGAACTCCAAAATTTATAAGTGTCAACTAAGAATACATTTTTTTTCTCAAAACCGGGCATGTTCTAGGCCTAAGGTGTTTCCTGGCCCTCATGCATGTTTCTGATGTGACGTGTTAGTCCATGTATGTTGTTCTTTGCTTGTACTAAGAGTATACTAAGAGTTTGTTAGGAATTTCTAGAGTACTAACTCCTGTTAGAAGAGTACATCTGTTTGTATTCTTGCTGATTTTTCTCTGTTTTCTTAAATATTAATTAGTTTATACTAGACGTAATTCTGGATAATGTTAAGGAGATGTTACTCTATGTACACTGTGTATATACATTGAGAGGTGCATTTGCCCCAGTGTATATACATTGAGAAGTGTATTTTCTCTTTGTGTATATACACCGAGAGAAAATTTACAGTTTATATAACCGAGAGAAAATGTAGTGTATACACACTGGGAGGTGTATTTCTCTTAGTATATATACACCGACAGGTGTATTCTCCTCAGTGTGTATATACTGAGAGGTGTATTTCTCTCAATGTATATACTGTTGGGTATTAAAGTATTCTTGACTGGTGGTGGAAATCTTACAAGCAGCCATATTGACTGTTGTAGTAGATAGGCTTTAAACCCCATTAACCGTCTGATATATCGTTCTGAAATTACTAATTAGGTTCTTAGCTGTAATTAGGTCTTCATCAGATTATAGTTAGGTTACAAGCTGAGTGGTTACGGTGGTGTCACTTTACAGTCTAACCTACAAGACAAATAGGTAATTTATCTTATCTTCTTCACTTCTATGTATCCTGTGTGTGTGTGTGTGTGTGTGTGTGTGTGTGTGTGTGTGTGTGTGTGTGTGTGTGTGTGTGTGTGTGTGTGTGTGTGTGAGTGTGTGTGTGTGTGTGTGTGTGTACTCACCTATTTGTGGTTGCAGGGGTCGAGTCCTAGCTCCTGGCCCCGCCTCTTCACCGGGTGCTACTAGGCCCTCTCTCTCCCCGCTCCATGAGCTTTATCAAACCTCGTCTTAAAACTGTGTATGGTTCCTGCCTCCACTACGTCATTTTCTAGGCTATTCCACTGCCTTACAACTCTATGACTGAAGATGTGTGTGTGTGTGTGTGTGTGTGTGTGTGTGTGTGTGTGTGTGTGTGTGTGTGTGTGTGTGTGTGTGTGTGTGTGTGTGTGTGTGTATGTGTGTATGTGTGTGTGTGTGTGTGTGTGTGTGTGTGTGTGTGTGTGTGTGTGTGTGTGTGTGTGTGTGTTTAAATGAGTTTCTATGGACACCATACTTCAGTAAATTATTATAATTAAGGTCTAACCTACGTTATAGTAAGAAAGTAAATTACTGCCTTAGTACTATAATGGGTAAATAAATTGTTAACAATATAGTGTGTGAGGAAGTGGACACGACAGCGTTCACATGGTGACTGGATCCTGATAGTTTAAATGCTGCTCCCTCCCTCCCTCCTGTCCCTATATATTACCTGTTTCCTCTTAGATTCTTCTTGTACTTGAAGTGATCAAGGTTCAAGCATTGAATCATCTCCCGTAAAGATGTCTTCAGTCAATACCTTCGTTCCCATTTCATTAATATTGTAAGCAATTAATGTGACATTTACCCATTACTATGTGTTTATTAGTAGTTAATATTTCCGTTTTTACATTTAGTAGACGTGGTTGTAGACGGTGCAAGTCAAGGCGATGAGCAACATTAACAGAAGAGTTTATTTTTGTCTTAAATTCTCTTATATTTCGTGATACTGGACTGAAAAGTGCTGGTAGAGCTATTCAAAGTCTTCCAGCTGATGCTAACCCTTGTGTATAGTTCGTTTATCAAGGATATCGTAGGTCTTCCAAGTCATCAAGTCGTCATTGATGAGAAGTCATCATCCACCTCTGCCTGACCTGTCTAGTCATCGTCTGGGGACAGACGACGTTGTTGTTATCGTCTCTGTGATTGCTATCACTTTCGGTTTATTTTCTTTTCTTTTTCTCCTTTCAGTTAGCTAACCTTATAACTTACATTGTGTCCATCTAGATAATCCTGAGGCTGCCTGTGGGAGTAATGTTTGTTCAGGGAGAGTGTTGACCTGGTCGTCCTAGCTGGTTATGTCGGTTTAGTGAGTCACCAGAGTTTATTAAATGTTAGATGTAGACACCAGGCTGGTGTACCATGCTATAACTCAACGATATATATATATATATATATATATATATATATTATATATATATATATATATATATATATATATATATATATATGTCGTGCCGAATATGTAAAACTGGTTAATTAGCAAGAACTCATTTAAAATTAAGTCCTTTCTAAAATTTTCTCTTATTCGTTTACAGATATATTTTTTTCATTAATGTTAATGTAAAAATTTTTAATTTTTCTCCAAAAGAATCTTAGAAAACTTACCTAACCTTATTATAACAAGAACAATTTATTTTAGCCTAACCCAACTAAATATATTTTAGATTTGTTTACAATAATTTAATATTAAACAAACACAGTGAAATATATTTTTTTCGTTAGGTTCAGAATGATTTTGGCGAAATTATTGCATACACAAATTTTCGCTTGTCCTATATGGCAAGATGAGCGTTGCTATTTAAGCCAAGATCGCAAGTTCTGCCTATTCGGCACGACATATATATATATATATATATATATATATATATATATATATATATATATATATATATATATATATATGTCGTGCCGAATATGTAAAACTGGTCAATTAGCAAGAACTCATTTAAAATTAAGTCTTTTCTAAAATTTTCTCTTATACGTTTAAAGATATATTTTTTTCATTAATGTTGATGTAAAAATTTTTAATTTTGCACCAAAAGGAACTTAGAAAACTTACCTAACCTTATTATAGCAAGCGCAATTTATTTTAGCCTAACCCAACTAAATATATTTTAGATTTGTTTACAATAATTTAATACTAAACAAACACAGTGAAATATATTTTTCTCGTTAGGTTCAGAATGATTTTGGCGAAATTACTGCATACACAAATTTTCACTTGTCCTATATGGCAAGATGAGCGTTGCTATTTAAGCCAAGATCGCAAGTTCTGCCTATTCGGCACGACATATATATATATATATATATATATATATATTATATATATATATATATATATATATATATATATATATATATATATATATATAATATATATTTGTATGACAGTGGCCCAGTATGAGACTGGAGAATTTATATGTTAAGATGGCTCGATAATTTACATAAAATATAAACTTTCATCAACATCGTATTTTCCATCCTTGTTTAAAATGTTAAATATTTAAAAAAAAAAATACGAAATTGCAAGTTTTAATTGAGGAATATCTGGAGGTGTTGTATAGTATATTGTATGTTGTGGTGTATATCTTGTGTAGTTGTATGCCACTGTGTGCTTCTATGGTGCCTTTATGGGGTCTTCATGGGGCTTTCAATGGACCTTTATTGTGCCTTCATGGTGACTTTCTGGGGCCTTAAGGTTCCCTCATGGTGACTTTCTGGGGTCTTAAGGTTCCCTCGTGGGGTCTTCATGGGGCCTTAAGGTTCCCTCATGGTGACTTTCTGGGGACTTAAGGTTCCCTCATGGTGACTTTCTGGGGTCTTAAGGTTCCCTCATGGTGACTTTCTGGGGACTTAAGGTTCCCTCATGGTGACTTTCTGGGGTCTTAAGGTTCCCTCATGGGGTCTTCATGGGGCCTTAAGGTTCCCTCATGGGGTCGTCATGGGGCCTTGAAAGTGAAGACAGCTGCTCACATTAACTGCTTGAAGGAGCATTAATATTCCTCAGTATTTCTGACTTTACCCACGACCATAACAAAATACATTAATATAATTCCCTGTATCTTCTTGTAACGGGATTATTATTTATCTTAACTGTTACCTTCGATTACATTAAACCACTTTGGACAAGGTATCATAAAACGAATACCAGGATACAACAATACGTGTATTTCTCTGTATATACACACAGGGATGTTTATATTTCATAGTATAAGTACAGTACGAGGTGTGTGTCTCTCAGTGTATATACACGGAGAGGTTTGTTTCTCTCAGTGCGTATATACCTTGAGGTGTATGTTACGGTATAGGAGTATACACACAGAGTTTAACTTAATCACTCTTAATGACCTTCGTGTAGTAGATAGGCTTTAAACCTAACAGAGCAACCATGGTAGGAATATATGTAGTGGCAAGTTATGGCACCATTAGAGGACAGAGCCACAAGAAACATAAAGAATTATTATCACAACGTTTCGCCCAAGGAGAGTTTGTGACTGTGTCACCTCACTGCTGTAGCTCTGACATCAACAGACTTTTACACAGTTCATTACCATTACTTGGCAAAGACAGCTGTTGAGGTCTAGTACTTGGACCCATTATGTGCCTGTGATCTTGTGACTACCGCCCACAGGGTAGCTATGGGGTGGCTACCATCCACAGGGTAGCTATGGGGTGGCTACCATCCACAGGGTAGCTATGGGGTGGCTACCATCCACAGGGTAGCTATGGGGTGGCTACCATCCACAGGGTAGCTATGGGGTGGCTACCATCCACAGGGTAGCTATGAGGTGACTACCATACACAGGGTAGCTATGGGGTGACTACCGCCCACAGGGTAGCTATGGGGTGGCTACCATCCACAGGGTAGCTATGGGGTGGTTACCATCCACAGGGTAGCTATGGGGTGGCTACCATCCACAGGGTAGCTATGGGGTGGCTACCATCCACAGGGTAGCTATGGGGTGGCTACCATCCACAGGGTAGCTATGGGGTGGCTACCATCCACAGGGTAGCTATGAGGTGACTACCATACACAGGGTAGCTATGGGGTGACTACCGCCCACAGGGTAGCTATGGGGTGGCTACCATCCACAGGGTAGCTATGGGGTGGCTACCATCCACAGGGTAGCTATGGGGTGACTACCATCCACAGGGTAGCTATGGGGTGACTACCATCCACAGGGTAGCTATGGGGTGACTACCATCCCAGGGTAGCTTGGGGGGGACTACCATCCACGGGGTAGCTAGGGGTGACTCCCCATCCCAGGGTAGCTAGGGGGTGACACCATCCAAAAGGGTAGCTTAGGGTGACTCCCTCCACAGGGTAGCTATGGGGTGACTACCGCCCCAGGGTAGCTACGGGTGACTACCATCCAAGGGTACTTTTGGGTGACTACCATCCACGGGGTTTATCGGGTGCTACCATCCCAGGGTAACTAGGGGGTGAAAACCCCCCACGGGGTCTGGGGGGTTACTCCCCGCCCACAGGGTGCTATGGGGTGACTCCCGCCCCGGGGTAGTATGGGGTGGCTACCATCTAAAGGTAGCGGGGGTAAACTCCCACCACAGGGGCTAGAGGGAAAACACCACAGGGTAATTGGGGTGACACCATCCACAGGGTAGCAAGGGGGTGAAAAAATCCACAGGGTAGTATGGGGGGACTACCCCCCACAGGGTAGCTAGGGGGACTACCACCACGGGAGCTAGGGGGGGACACCATCCACGGGAGATAGGGGGTGACCCCCCCCACGGGAGCTATGGGGGACTACCCCCCACGGGGTGCTTGGGGGGCTACCGCCCACAGGGTGTTTGGGGGTGCTCCCATCACGGGGTGCTAGGGGGTGACTCCGCCCACGGGTAGGTTGGGGTGACTGCCATCCCACAGGGTAGCTATGGGGACTACCTCCAAGGGTGCTATGGGGTGACACCGCCCACGGGGTAGCTATGGGGTACTCCCACCCCAAACAGGGAAGCTATGGGGTGACTACCGCCCACAGGGTAGCAGGGGGTTGCACCATTCCAGGGTGCTATGGGGTGACACCGCCCACGGGGTAGCTATGGGGTGACTACCGCCACGGGTAGCTAGGGTGATACCACCACGGGGAGCTAGGGGTGCTACCGCCCAGGGTCATGGGGTACTACCGCCCACAGGGTCTAGGGGTACTACTGCCCACGGGGGTAGTTGGGGTGACTACCCCCCAAGGGTGCTATGGGGTACTACCCCCACAGGGTCATGGGGGATCCCGCCCACAGGGTAGCTAGGGGTGATCCGCCCACGGGGGTACATGGGGGACTACCGCCACAGGGTAGCTATGGGGGGGCTACCATCCACAGGGTAGCTATGGGGGGCTACCATCCCAGGGTATTATCGGGTGACTACCACCCAAAGGGGTAACTTGGGGGGACTACCGCCCCGGGTAGCTATGGGGGACACCGCCCAGGGGACTAGGGGGTGACTCCGCCCCGGGGGACTATGGGGTGACTACCGCCCACGGGTAGCTAGGGGTACTACCGCCACAGGGTTAGGGGGACTACCGCCACGGGGTAGCAGGGGGTGGCACCCCCAGGGTAGCTAGGGGGGCTACCACCCCCAAAGGGTAACTAGGGGTGCTACCGCCCACAGGGTAGCATGGGGTGACTCCGCCCACAGGGTAGCTAGGGGTGCCCCCCACGGGGTAGCTTGGTGATACCGCCCACGGTACTTGGGGGACTCCCGCCCCAGGGTAGTATGGGGTGACTCCCGCCCACAGGTACTAGGGGTGACTACCATCCTTTATCAAGCTTCAAAAACCCTTCAATTAGCATTAATTTCCCCCTCTAGAAATAACTTACAAGAAACAAACACGGTACGGGGGGGGGTTTCGAAACCAGGCCCGTGTTTCCCGCGATTCGTGAGTCGTATAGAAAGAAACTTTGTGATAGCTAGAGAAAATACAATGTTTTATGTATATATTGTATACTTCCTGGAGGAAAGAAAAAATTGAGGTGAGTTTAACTATTTTTTATATAATCAAATATAATATAAAAATATATATAAATTAAATATATATAATATATATAATATATATAAATTATTATTATAAATTTAAATTTTTATTTAAATTAATTAGGGAAATTTTTATTAAATGTTTTTTAAAATCTGTTTTTTTTTATTTTGGGGACGTTCAATCAAATTAAATTCTTTTTTATATTTTTGTCTTTTGTGGAGAAATTTGTCCATCTGGGGGTCTGGAAAAACCGGGAAAAACTCTTAAAATTTTTTTTTGGAAATTTTTTCTTTTTCTGGAAGGGTTTTGGGGAAAATTCGAGGTGTTTTGGAAGACAGAGATTTCTTTTTTTTGGGAGAGTGTTTGAGGGGTTAGTAGGGTAAAGTAGTACGTTTTGTTTTTTGTTTGTTGTGTTTCTGTACGTATTTAGATGTACTTTTCCATTATTGGCGTAATTTTTGTACCAGATCAATTTAAACCTCCCCCGGGTTTTTTTTTTGACTTTATTTACAAGCATGTTTTTTTTTGTGGGATTTTTCCTTTGTGTATATTAAATCAGTTTATCGCCCAATGTGAGAAAAGCAAAATAACGTGATGATAGCTTAGGGGGCCCTTTTGATTGCAATCAACACTCAAGAGCTTACAGAAATAGAGCATGCAATCCAGGAAGATCCAATGATGTGTTGATTGCAACACGAAAGGCCCAGAGCTATCATTCAACCCCCCCTGTGGTTATTTTGCATACCGTATTATATTTATTGTCCTTCTTCGTACATTCCATACTTCATCTTAATCTTTCCTTTTGCTGTACAGCCCTTGTGGATTAGCGCTTCTTTTTGATTATAACAATAATAATTTCCTTAGTTAATGCTGAAACTACACATGTAACATATTTGCTAATTCCCCGTTCCCTTTGCTGGCAGTTGGGGTCGACACAGGAAGCGGAACCAGCCGAGACAACAGCCAGAGCCTGTCGACTACCGTACTGGTCTCATTTCTCGGTCTCACCTTCGCTCCCCATCAGGATTAATACGATAATCTGTGTATGGACGACACTGAGCGATTTCGCTCGTTACCGAGACTTATAGTTAACATTAATCAGCAGTAAACAGTGCAGAGCTATTTAAACAGCAGCACAGAGACAGTGTGTTTAGGGTTGAGGTTGTGAATGTTAGGAACGACAGTACGGTAGCAGATGTGTGATAGCCATGGCTGTTGAAACTATTTGAAAGCGAGATATTAGCGGCTCCATTGCTGGCAGTTTATATGTATTTATATGTATTACTGTATAGACATACCTTTATTATTTTTATTACCTGCTTGGTTTGTACACTATCTGACGTCACATTACTCATATCAGTGACGCTGGATGACTTTGTCATGTTTATCAAAGTTACAATAGCTCTGTATATATTATTTTACACCTCTGAAATTATGCCCTATAATTTTTTTTTATTGAAATCAGTATTATAGATTTCTACAACAATTATATTATAAATATTGTACAATTAGAATTAAACCTATAATTTTTTTGTACAATTTTCTCCTGTTGTTACACACTAATTATAAATGAAAACTTAATTGAAAAAAAAAAAATATATATTTAATATAACCGCAAACAAGCGATGTAAGTAATGCAGAACAAGTCACCTGGGGATAGAAATCTCCAACTCAAGATCTTTCGCACTCTCTGTGCGTCGTCAGGAGCTAGGCAATGTTGCAAGACTAGCAACAGAAAGTAGTGAGAAAAATTCTCTCTCTGGGGGGAAAGTAGAAGTGTAAAAGTCAGGCCATGTTGTAGTGTGGTGCTACCTGGCTCCTGAACCACCTCCACCTGTCCCTTCTCTCTCTCCCCTTACGTGGGCGGGCAGGGAGGAAACCCACGGGTTTGTAGTAGGCTGGTTACTGAATAATAAGGTACATTTTTATCGACATCAGCTAATCTAATGAAGTATGAAATCATTATACTTAAGTGGTAAATACATTCTCAGGCTTAATGTAACTTTAAATATTAAACGAATCAGAGGTGTTGTGTGTCACCCTGCATTCTCGACAATGTTCCAGGAAGTGTTGTCTACAAGGATCCCTACATAGTAACATATGTGCGAGGTTCCTAGGGTAGCCTAGGGTAGCCTAAGGTAGCCTAGGGTGGTCGAGCAGAGGGACTTATCGCCTGTGGGGTTCCAGGATTAAAAAACACTGCAACTACCTTGGAGCAAGGTAGGTAAATATGTAGGGATCTTTGCAGACATCACTTTCTGGAACATTCTCGGACGTATAGGGTGACACACAACACCTCTGATTTGTGAGAATGTGAGTGTATTAACCACTTCGTAAAATGATTCCATAAGCAATTAGATATTCTGACTGACTGGAGGTGAATAGATGATATGCAGCCTTAATGACCCTCGTATAGTAGATAGATTTGAAACCCTATTAGCTAGTAAATCATTTAAAGGAAGTGCCAAAGATTGAAATTTTGTATTGACATTATTTAATAATGATTCAAATGAATTTATAACAGAGTGGAATTTTGTGTCGAGATGAACTTTGTTTATGAAGGTCGTTTAGATCTATACAGAGTTTTATCAAGTCTTGATAAAACTGTTTAGAGCAAAATAAATATAAAAATAATATCTGTTCTGTACACATTGTCTCTCTACCTTTTTATGTGCAGCATTTCTCCCAAAATTGGGCCTTAACAAAGTACTTGCTAAAGCCCAGTGTCGAGCGAAACGTTGTGCAAATGAAGGTCTTCACTGCACTCGAAGCTTTTCCACCCAACTCTCAGGAATACTTGGGCACCCAGTGATGAAACTGAGATCGTGAAGCATCTGAATATGGATTATTATTATTATTATAATCAAAAAGATCTGATTGTGGAAGCAACAACAATGTCTGGAAAATGGGCTCGATACGGCGTATGCTGTCACTGGCCCTATAAACCCAACAACAACCCGGTGGCCTGGTGGCTAAAGCTCCCGCGTCACACACGGAGATCCCGGGTTCGATTCCCAGCGGGTGGAAACATTTCGACGCGTTTCCTTACACCTGTTCACCTAGCAGCAAATAGGTACCTGGGTGTTAGTCGACTGGTGTGGGTCGCATCCTGGGGACAAGATTGAGGACCCCAGTGGAAATAAGTTAGACAGTCCTTGAACGAACGAAATCTTATCTTATCTCGAAATTACTTTGCCGTGACTACAGAGGTCGGAGGAAGTGGCGCCTTCATACACTCAGCTCGCAGCTTCTGAGTCTCCCAGTGGTCTGTTCTATCGAAACTTTATTATTTTAGGGGGTGGGGGGAGAGGGTAGTGCTGTCCCAGTGCCTTTTGGAGTTCTAGACCAGTTGCTGCTCTGAATTAATAACCGATGAACTGTTTGCAATCAAAGAGGCAACTGAGATTCTGGATGCCCTCATTTAATCGGTTCTCTACGGGAACTAATAGTCTCATACCTCCATGTTAATAGCTACTCTAGTGAATATAATAATAATTTTATTGTTGTTGTTGTTATATACAGAGTCAGCAGCTAGTGGTTATGCAGGGATAAACAGGGAACACGATTTTAACGCTTTTTGTGAAGATAGTGATAATTTGGTCCTAGCAACGATGAGGGTCGACACTACGTTACTGGTGACAAGTGCGACACTGCTCAGCCAGCTGGGTAATAAGGGAATGGTAAGGTGTGTCTAATTAGGAGCAAAATGTTACTAAACGGTTTAAAAGATAATGTATCTTATACAGCAACTGCCCTTGTTTGTGACTGTTTGTTTGAGAGATTGAGAATTGACACAGGCTGATGGAGGAGATTGAGAGGGGTGAAAGTAGTTGTTCCAAAGTGAAAGGTGGGTAGAAAAGGAAGCCTGTGTATTGAAAGAGTTGACGTGAGACTGGAGGGAAGAAGTGAATGGAGTAGTAGTTTTGGAGTGGATGTATCGGAAGATGAGTCGATAAGATAAGATTTGTTGGGATTTTTAACCTGGGGTGGGGAAAGGTTAGCCACCCAGGATAACCCGGGGTAGCGAGGGTTAGCCACCCAGGATAACCCGAGGTAAGGACGGTTAGTCACCCAGGATAACCCGAGGTAGGGAGAGTTAGTCACCCAGGATAACCCAATGAAGTCAGTGCGTCGTCGAAAGGAAGGTGTTTGGTCTATGGAAGCAGGTGTTTGGTCTATGGAAGCAGGTGTTTGGTCTATGGAAGCAGGTGTTTGGTCTATGGAAGCAGATGTTTGGTCTATGGAAGCACGTGTTTGGTCTATGGAAGCATGTTTGGTCTATGGAAGCAGAGTTTGGTCTATGGAAGCATGTGATTTGGTCTATGGGAAGCAATGTTTGGTCTAGGAAGCAGATGTTTGGTCTATGGAAGCAGGTGTTTGGTCTATGGAAGCAGTGTGTTTTCTATGGAACAGGATGATTAAGTCTTGGAGAGGTGTTTGGTCTTGAAAGCAGGTTTGGTCTAGGAAGCCGTGCTTTGGTCTATGGAAGCGGCTGTTTGGTCCAGGAAATGGCATTTATGGTTATGGAAGCAAGTGGACTTATGGAAGCAGGGTGTTTGGGGTAATGGACATTCCCTTTGTCTATACGGATCGTGTCTATGGAAGCAGGTGTTAGGTTATTGGAAGCAGGTTTGGTCATGGAAGCACATGTTTGATTGGAATTTGCCTTGGATCTATGGAAAGCACAGTTGTGCTTGGAGCGCTGTGGTTATGGAACAATGTTTGGTTATGGAAGCGTGTGCTTTGCTCTGGAACACATGTTGGTCTGGAAGCTGAGTTGGTTTGGGTTCCTGGGAACAAGTTGAGGGCAAAGGAATTATGGCTCTTGAAGCACTGTTTTGTCTTGGAAGCAGGTGTTTGGTCTATAAGCCACCATGTTTAGGTCTATGGAACAAATTTTGTTATGGAAGACATTTTGTCTAAAGCATTGTTTTGGCCCATCAGTAATTACAGGATACAAACATATTAAAAGTCATTAGTAGTTCCTCATTACAAAAATAGAACTCAAGCGGTAAAGTCCATCGCCTCAACTTAGGGACTCGCTATGATCCGGCAACAAAATGGAAAACATAGATACAATAGTTAGACCCAAGGGAAATTAGCCAAACTGTGCATCTGGGGGTAATCCTCAGGTAATATCCCCATAATTTACCATTCGAAATCCGTGTGTTATGATCAGGCAAGTTTAATTTAGGTACGTGTACCAGAACACATTTATTGTGTTACCTATAGGAGTACCCCAGAAAGGTCACAGCTGAGTATCCGTGGTTCCGGTTAGCCCCGGCACTGTGGAATCATCTGGACTGTTTCTTTACACCTGTTGGTAGTTCACCTAACAGCTCATCGTAGGGTACCGTTGCTCGACGTGGGGATCGCTCCGGCCGACAGGAGTTGAAGGCCACAAATGGACAATAAGACGGTCCTGCATGCGCCCATGGGGGCTTGGGTTATGGGCTGACTAACCCTCCAGGGTTAAAAATCCGAACAAAATGTTATTTTATGTGTAAGAAAGTGTATTACTACGTAATACAGATTTAGATAATAATAATTACCATATTCGTTGATAAATCTGACACTGGCCTTTTCCAAATGAAAAACAGGTGGCTCCAAGGTGACTGAATTTCCATGGGTCCTTGAAATTCAATAGAAGAATAATAATAATAATACATTATAATAATAATCATAAATCCTACTTCTACCAAGTACCTCTCAGTGCTCAAGGAAAAGCTATACAGAAAGCCGCTTGTTATCTGACCCTATGGGCTAATGATTAGGTGTTTCGTCCCAGATGCGATCCACGCATTCTCTTTTGACTTTGAGAGTACTCTCCCGCACCGGGCCTTTTCCAAGTGTGAACCCGGCCTTGGCTCCTTCTCGGAAGTAATTCAGGACTAATGGTCTGCCATAGGAGAGGCACAAGTACTCCTCATCGTTGGGTCCAACTGTCCCTAGGCCTAGCCACATTCCCCGCCCTCACGGGGCTCGCAGGGAAAAGCTAGGCCTCTCTGGTCTGCCATCCCCGCCCCTAGGGGGCTAATGGGAATGGCAGGCTTATGAGCTGCAAGCTCTGGCTCAGGCACCTACCCTGCCCTAGAAGGGCTGGGCATGGTGTCGATCGACGCACACCATTATTTATTATTAAAGATTCGCTGGTAGTCTCCCTGCCCGGGCCTTTTCCAAATGGTGGCCCGGCCTTGGCTCCCTGTCTAGGGAGTGTCTGAGACCTAAGTCTCCCATGGGAGGAGATACAAGTATCCCCTCATCTTTGGACCAACTGTCCCTAGACCTAGCCACATTCCCCGCCCTCACGGGGCTCGTAGGGAAAAGCTAGGCCTCACTGGTCTGCCATCCCCGCCCCAAGGGGGCTAATGGGAATGGCAGGCTTGTGAGCTGTAAGTTCGGGCTCAGGCACCTACCCTGCCCTAGAAGAGCTAGGCATGGTGTCGATCGACCCACACCAGTCGACTAACACCCAGGTACCTATTTTACTGATAAGTAAACAGGGACAGCAGGTGTCTTAAGGAAACACGCCAGTCACTCAAAACGTTGGAAAAAAATTAAGTTTTTGTGCTTGTTATCAAAGATTACATTGACTATATTGCAGACATTTAAATATATCCCGGGTGGCCTGGTGGCTAACACTCTCGCTTCACACGGCAAGGGCCCGGGTTCGATTCCCAGCCAGAGTAGAAACATTGGGCGTGTTTCTCTCCACCTGTTGTCTATGTTTCCCATCAGTAAAATGGGTACCTGGGTGTTAGTCGACTGGTGTGGGTCGCATCCTGGGACACTGACCTAATTTACCCGACATGCGGAGCATAACAAGGGACTTTCTATATAGTAGTATGTCATTGATGTCAGCTAGGACTGTATACCTTGTACATGTACTTGTAGTAAATAAAGATATTATTATTATTATTATTATTATTATTATTATTATTATTATATTCTTTTCACACACCGAAATAGGCGGTTCTTGTTTGGGAAATAAGTGAGTTACCCACTAAATTTACTTCTATCCCAGCCACTGTAATAGAAAACGAAGTTTTATAACAGGGAAACTAGTGTATTAGGGGGTGACTTAATTGATTTATTATGTAAACAAGTTTATTCAGGTATATACAAATACAGTTACATAGATTATCATGCATAGCAGCATATGTGAAGAGAACCAAGGATAACCAAAAAAAAAAAAAAAATTCGGACGCAGTGACTTATTTCCACTGGGGTCCTAGTAGTATCTTATTATTTTAAGCTTCGCTGTAGCTTACAGTACATTTATTTAGGTACAGGTACATTGTTACATAAAATGCGATTCTAAAAGCTTAGATATCTCCAGTGAATACTAGAAAGGACTGCCCTTCTAGCATCCAGCCTGTTACTGGGTTTTCGTAACAATTAGTCAGTATCCTTGTCCAATTATCCATTAGAATTCAGTATGAATTATTAGTGCTTTAGGATTACAACAGGTAGGTTACTAACTAGAGAAAATAAAATTTAATAAATTTATTGAGTATCGTTAAAAGGTATATTATCAAATTAAATTAACCAATTCAAACAAATTAATAATAATCACTTCTCTCGTGTACAATATTATTGTGCTGAAAGCACATATCACATTTATAATTCTTAAGTACCGTCTGGTACATTAACATTTAATAAGATATTACAAATATGTACAAGTAAGTGTGTATGTGTGTAAGTGCTCTAAG